GGGGGTGGCGCCAGAAGAATCATCCGGCGTGAGAGGGGGTTTTAGGGCAGGCGGCTAGACGGTTCAGGGCTTTGGGGTCTGAGGTTGCGTTGTTCAGATATTTTGAGAAATTGGGGGGATGAAGGCTAATGAAGGCTCAATACAAGGAATAAAACACGCCAGATGGCGGATAGGAGCCAACATCACGACTGTAACAGTGGCAAAGGCCCCTCAACGTTGCTATGTGTACAGACGTACACACATACATGTACGCATATAAAGCCTACCAGCCCTAAAGCCGCGAAATCTTCGGTTGTACATACTCTAGCCGACTGCCAAGAGGCTTTCGCTTGGACTTGCGCTGGCAGTAGCTCTCGGTGCCAGAAGGGATGAAGACTCGGATTTGCCGTCGGATTTCGCAGTCCTCTTCTTGAGCTTCCTCGGCATGGGAGTTTAGGGCTTAGGGGTTTAGGGGTTTAGGGTTTAGGGTTTCGAAATCTGAACATCATTCGGGGCCTCATGAAGATGGGAATTTCTTGAACCTTGGGCATTGAGAAGGCTCGTAGTGGGCAGGTTTCACACTAGGGTCCTAAAGTTGGTCAGTCAGACTCAGAAGCCCAAAAAACATCAAGCCGAATCCTTGGAAGACAACTTCTGGAGCCCAAACCACCACAGCTGCACAACACGTCCTACGCTTTGGCCGCAGTCACACCGTGACTTCCCAAAACCGTGCACCCCCAGACAGAAAGTGCAGCGCACTCAACTTGTCGAGTTCAAGTCCTACAATGCCTACACAACGCCAGGACCATAGCTCCAGCGCAACCCGAAACTCTGAACCCTAAACCCTTAATACCTCGCAAGAACTGTCTTCCGAGATTCTCAGAGGAGGTCCCTTGGCTCTCGAAGCTGCGAGAGGGGGGTGTGCCGGCAACAGCTGGCCCAAAAGATGGGCCAGAAGGCCCAGCCATAGGACCTGAAGGTCCAGGCATGCCCGACAGTCCAGCCATAGTCAAACCAGAAGGTCCAGTCTTCGTGCCAGAAGGACCAGCCATGGGGCCAGAAGGTCCAGGCATCAAACCAGAAGGTCCAGACATAGGGCCAGAAGGACCAGCCATAGGGCCAGAAGGTCCAGGCATCAAACCAGAAGGTCCAGTCTTAGGGCCAGAAGGACCAGCCATGGGGCCAGAAGGTCCAGGCATCAAACCAGAAGGTCCAGTCCTAGGGCCAGAAGGACCAGCCATGGGGCCAGAAGGTCCAGGCATCAAACCAGAAGGTCCAGTCTTAGGGCCAGAAGGACCAGCCATTGGGCCAGGCGCAGGTGCAGAACCTTGGCGCGGACTTGCGCAAGGGCCCAACGGGCCAAGGGTCACTTTGGGCTCTTTGCTTTTGGCAGGGCAGGTTTTTCGTTGTGTTGCGAACTCCGAACCACTGTGAGTACACATTTGGAAGCTAAAAAAACTCGCTGATAACACGTAGAACATTCCTTGAAACACCTACTAAAGTGCCATCCAAGACACCCGGACGAGGACCCGGGGGACCCGGCAATGGACCGGGTGGACCAGTTCCAGGGATGGGACCCATGGAACCCGGTCCAGTCCTCAGTTGGGTGGTTGTCAAAATGATGGTCCCTTTTTGGGTCCTTATTATAACACGGCATCTATTATTTAGGGTACCCCAAAAGGGACCATAATTTTGACAACTACCCAGTTGGGGCAAGGCGCTAAGCCCGGAGGGTGGAGTTTAGAATTTCGCGTTCCGGGTCTAGGGCGGATGAAAATTAAGGTCAGCAGTCGAGCTGAGACCTTGAAGCAGGAATCCTTCAGTATATATATATATGTATGTATGTATGTATATATATATATATATCATTAACACATATCATAGGACTTCCAGCGTCTAAACATCCACAATCGATAGCCCTGTTATACCCCGAGCTCGCACATCTCAAGCAACTACAACCCTAAACCAACAACAACAGCAACCGACCCTAGTGCGCCCCCTCCAGCCCCAGCCCCAGCCCCTGGCCCCCAGCCCTCAGCCCCCGGCCCAGCGTAGTTTCCCTGCATGGCTACAGGAAAACCTGCTCAAAACGCTTCGCTCAAAAGTTATGGGCAGCCAAACCCTTAACAATTTCTAAAAGCCCTAAACCCGATAAGACCCCCCCCAACCAAAAATAGCATCCTGAACTCAAGAAGCATGTCACAGTATACGGTATAGTAGCTATGTCAGAAAAAGGAAGTGTTGTGGCTGGCTCATCAGGCCCCGTTGTCAATATAGGAGCCTGAAGAAGTACTCAGTTTATTCCCTAGCATGCCTTATCATGTTTGCACCGTAATATTCTGTAGGGTTCCTGATCATGCTCTTATACCATAACATGCCTCCACTAAGATCTTTTCGACTAGATTTAGCTCCAGCATCTCCGGACGCTGCCCCTGCGGCGTTCCGAGAGGGCGCGGCCCTGCGGTTCAGGCGGGCTTTAGAACGTTTAGGGTTTAAGGGTTTAGGGGTTTAGGGTGTAGGTTTTAGGGTTTGCCGGGGTTGGGGTTCTGCGGATGTAGGACTTCGGGCTGTGGGCTGGTAAGGCTACTAGTAAGAGGGCTTGATGTTTTGGTTCTGCTACCTAAGGCGGCTGGGAACCGAAGGTCGTGAAACCCCAATCACTAAAGCCGACATGCAGGGTAGTACCGGCATACTCTATTTCTACTTACTGGCACAGTGTTGCTTTGTGTTTACGTAACTCCTGTTAATTCTCTTGCCCTTCAACCCAACAGCCATAGGATCTCGAAGCAAGCCTTCAGCCCCAACACAAGATCCTGAAACCAGCAGCGATCGCTCATATCAGGTTAGGTAAGTTGACACCCTAAACCCTGAACCCTAAACCCTCTACCTCAAACGATGCTTCAAGTAAGCTGGTTCGAAAGAGGAGGGCGGGACCGCTCGGGCTCCATCTTCTTCCCTCCTCAGCGCAGCAACAAAAGATTTCTCGACCAGGAAAGCGGTTCCTGAACACGTGTGGCAGCAGTATCGGGCGTTGGTTACCACCGCGCAGGCATACGCAGGAAGTCGCTTCATTACATGTCTTACTTGGATGTGCAATGGCTGCCTCAAAGGGTGGCTCCAAACAAAAGTTTAAAGTAGAAAATCAGCCACAATTACCAAGAGGGAACGCCTCGCTCAATGCAAAAGAGAGTTGGGTGCCCACCACACCGCGCTGGCGAACCCTAAAGCCCTAAACCTTAAACCCTGAACCCTAAACCCCTACACTGTCCTACACCCTAAACCCCTAAGCCCCAAACCGGCCCCGGGCCCTAAAACCTGAACCCCCAAGCCCCAAACCCTTGGTCCCACGATGCCTGGAGTCGCGCCAGACAGCGGCCTAGGTCCCGGCGGTGTCCTTGGAGGAAGAGCAACTCAGTACTTCGGAAGCTCTATGGAGGGCTTAGGGTTTAGGGTTTAGGGGCTTAGGGTTTAGGGTTTTTGAGGGTTTAGGGTTGAGGGTCTTAGGGTTCTCGAAAGTTTCGGGCCTGGGGTTATAGAGGGTTGAGCGTTGAGGGCCTTAGGAAGTTTCAGGGTTGAGGAGTAGGAGTTTGTAGTTTGGGTTTAGGGTTTAGGGATTTACGGGCTTAGGGTTTATCCGAAGTGATCCAAGGTGGGAAACGCTGCCACCCAGCGAGAGGTGTACTGTCAGGGCATGCAGCATGCTAGTGTGCTAGGCTGCAGTGCAAACCTGTCGTTCATACTCAAGAACCCTCCCTGCCCAAAGTGGAGAACAAAAAACTGCAAGCCAGATGCTTGAACAGAGCCACGATGGTTGTGATGATGGTGGGATCACAGCTTTGCTGACAGCTGCGGTTGGTGCAGTCGCTCCCCACTACTCTTTGTCGCGTATGCCCTTGAGTGTTAATTGGGTGCCGACGGTTACGACAACGATCGTGGTGATGGCGATAGCACTGGTGATGACGATGGTGATGACGATGGTGATGATGATGGTGAGGATGATGATGATGATGATGGTTGTGGTGGTGATGTTAAAGCTGCTGATATTACCTGGAAGCTGCAACTTACAACCCCCCCCCCCCCGTTTGGTAATTTGGTATCGCACCGAGGAGCATAAGATAATGAGACTCACAAAAACGAACCCTAAACCCCTAAACCCGAAACCCTAAACCCCAAACCCCTAAACCCCTAAACCCCTAAACCCCTATACCCTTAAAACCTAAACCCTTAAACCTTGAACCCCAAACCCTAAAAAATCCCAGGCAATGACTCCAAGCCCAAGTGTCAGAGGCTTCGGACCTGGAGCAGCCGTGATCATCGGACCCAACTCAGCTGTGAGCTCCTTTGTGGGGGCTGAGAGTTTAAGGTTTGGGGCTTTGGGGTTTGAAGGGTTTAGTGTTTAAGGCTTTGGGGCTTTGGGGATTTAGGGATTTAGGGCTTTGGGGCTCTGGGGATTTAGGGGTTTAGGGATTAGGGTTTAGGGCTTTGGGGATTTAGGGGTTTAGGGTTTGGGGCTTTGGGGATTTAGGGATTTAGGGGTTTGGGGTTAAGGGCTTTGGGGATTTAGGGGTTTAGGGTTTGGGGCTTTGGGGGTTTAGGGATTTAGGGGTTTAGGGCTTTGGGGATTTAGGGGTTTAGGGGTTTGGGGTGTATGGGGTTTAGGGTTTAGGGCTTTGGGGATTTAAGGGTTTAGGGTTTAGGGGCTTGCGGGTTGAGGGTTTTGGAGGGCAGTTTAGGGCCAGGGTTCAAACTCCTCTAATACTAAAAACCATTTCTGCCAGCAGCACTAGCAATACACTGCACCGCCAACACCACCACCATTACTTTCCGACGATGACTACAACTGTCCCTGTCCCTGCCACTGCCAAACCACCACGACGACGAGGAGGACGACGACTACTACTTACTGCTACTACTGCCAATGCTACTACGTCTACTGCGTCTAGTACGACTACTACTACTACTACTACTACTACTACCACTACTACTACTACTACTACGACTACTACTACTACTACTACTACTACTACTACTACTACTACTACGCGACGACACTCTAGTTTCGGTATTGGTGCCACCGAACCCCAATGTCACACCACAACATCTGTACCGATGTGGTGATGATGGTCCAAGTTCTCCGAATGCATCGGTGTTTGGAACTTTTCTACTGGCACGTCATAGAGCTTGCCCTAAATCCTAAACCCTAAACCCTGAACCCTAAACCCTACACCCTAAACTCTTGGGGTATGTCGGATCATCGCGGCAGAGTTGTGTTTGGACCCTCAGGGCTCAGATGTCGAACCTTACACTTGGTTCCTCGGGATGCAACATGCAAGGGCTAAACACTGACACCCTAAAACCCTAAACCTGAAACCTCAAAACCCATAAAAACCCTAAACCTGAAACTTTAAAATCCTAGAAACCCTACCCTACACCTACTACAAAGCCTGAAAACCCTAAAAACCCGAAGGCCGAAGACGTAAGAAGCCCGGAAGTCTGTGGAGCTTGAGGAAATACGTTGGGATGAGCTTGGAAGTTACCGAAACTTAGGGCTCGACCCTACTCCGGCTTTGGGCTTGGGGTTTACGGTTTAGGGTTTAGGGTTTAGGGTTTTAGGGTTTAGGGCTTTAGGGGTTTAGGGTCTAGGGTTTGGGGTTTAGGGTTTGGGGTTTAGGATTTAAGGGTTTTATTGACGTTGGGGG